GAGCGAGAGGTCAGTGGCGGTTCGGAGCTCTTTCAGAACTTCCAGATTGTGACCACACTCGTGCATGTCCTTCAGTGCCTTGGCCTGATGAACCTGCAGTAACGGCATCCACAAGCCGTTTAAGCACCGCCGGTCAGACGAGAAGAAAGGCACCAGGGCGGGGCGCTGAGAACCAGCGCAAACCACCCCAAGAAACCAATCGTCCGACCTCGAGGCCTCGGGACGCAATGCAGGTTTCCACTCGAGCCCTACCCTCTCAGCTGCCCGGGAAAGCATAGCCGACATCTCCGGATCCGATTCAGGCATTGCCACCACGGGCGGCAGCGCAGCCGAATCTTACTCTCCAGAGAGCTCTCGCTCCGATGCAGTGATCGGCATCCGGTCATCGGGAGGAGCCCCGAGGGATACCGCTGGTACGCTTCATGCCCAGACACGTGAGGCAGTGATCGTGACCATCACCCGGCGCCAGGTAACAACCGCATCCAGAAACGCACGGGTGAAACGGCATCTTTAAAAAGACGATCCGTCGTCTTGACAAAGACGCACCCGCTTATTGTACTCTTTTAGAGAAATTGGCTCTTTTAGGGAAATGCTCTTTTACGTGCTGAGATGCACAGGGGAAACGGCCGTTTGCAGCACGACAGGGGGTAGTGCAGCCTGAAGTGCGCAACCCACTCGACACAGGAACGACCACCGTTGAAGCGCCGTCCGCCAACACAAAAAGCTCCAGAGAGCGCGCTAACATCGATCGTCGGTCACCGACGTGACTCGGAGTGACCAACTGAAAGGGAACGCAAGTTACTTTGTTTTCCCATTTATTGACTGACAGCTGTCCTGTCCCAGTGTTGAGAGAAATTGGGAGTGAGGTGCAGAGGCACAATTTCACTTTTGGTGTGAAAGGGCCTTTACAGTTGCTAAAAGTATAACCTTTGGGTTTTTGTCTAATAAGCAAGCCCAGCCCAGGTGACAAAAAGTAACGTAAAAGTAACGCAATGCATTACTTTCCATAAAGGGTAACACAATATTGTAATGCATTACTTTTAAAAGTAGCTTTCAACAACACTGCTCACCAAGGCTGCATTTATTTGATCAAAAATACAGTAAAAACTAATATTGTGAAATATTATTACAATTTAAAATAACTATTTTCTCTTTGAATACATTTAAAAATTTAATTTATTTATGTGGTGGCAGAGTTTCAATTTCAGCATCATTTCTCCGGTCTTCAGTGTCACATGATCTTTCAGAAATCATTCCAATGTGTTGATTTGCTGCTTAAAAACATTTCTTATTATTATCAATGTTGAAAAAATTTGTGCTGCTTAATATTTTTGTGTAATATTTTTTAGGATTCTTAGGTGAATAGAAAGTCAGAAAGAACAGCATTTGTCACTTTTAATGCATCCTTGCTGAATAAGAGACCTTTGAACAGTAATGTGTATGGTTTGCGTGTTTGTTTGGTAAATGTCTCTTGAATTTTGATGCTTTCATGCTCTTAACAGGAAATAATTTACCACAGAAAACAAATTCACAATGTTGCATAGGAACCCATAGTTGGGATCATATTTTCCTTTCATTTATGTTGTTTTGTTCATGCTTTTTAAGGATGTCATGCATCCTGTCCATGGCAGCATTATTATCATCAGTAATTAACTATCTTCTAACTAATGAAACATGAATGTGCATCAGTTTGACAGATTTATTTCCAGCCTTTGACATCAACAACAAAAGATATAGAAAGTGTTTTTTCTTCCCCTTTAAAAGTTGTAGTTAGTTTTCTAACCAAACTAGTTTTTAGCATTGTATTATTTGCATTAAGCATTGTTTTCATTAGAACAGACCTCTGACCCTTCAGCTGAGAATCGCTGGCCTCAGAGGTCAGCTCGTGTTGTAGACAAAAGCTTTAAAAATAGATTTTTCTTTAGACCCTTGATTTATGTGTGCTGCTTTTGAATACAGTAGTTCAACTCTTTTCAACTCTTATAGCAAAGGTCTTTTGTGGAGGTGGAGGGCCTATTGAACTTCTCTATTGTTTATACAGTATTCAACAGGAAACTGACATTTATGTCACAGTATCTGCGCTGGAACTGAGCTTTCTCCACTGCACTCGGCTGTGTGTTGTTTAATGCTGAATGAAGTTTGTCATTTGCTCTGGTTTATATCTGCAGGTTTAGTCTGGTGAGTGAGAACGCTCCTGTCGGTACACCTGTGGGAATGATTCTGGCCACAGCCGTCAACACCACTGTCTTTTACTCCATAGTGAGTGGAAATGAAGGAGGTGAGTTTTTACTCTGGAGGGAATTCATTAAATCAACTGGATCCAACCAGCGCATTGTTTTCCTGGTTGAGTTGCATGTGATTTGTGAATAAGATGCAACCGTGGATTTCTAGTGACTTATCGTTGGTGTTGGAGGTGCTGTGAACTGTTCTCTGATCAGTTTGTGTTTGCAGGTGAGTTCACAGTCAATAACCGCACTGGGATCATCTACACAAATAAACTTCTGGACTATGAGAGTGTGACCAGTTATGTGCTCCGCGTGCAGGCCGATTCTCTCGCCGTCATCCTCGCCAACCTGCGTGTTCCCTCCAAAAGTAAGAATAACACTAAAGCACACTTCATCTTTTCCAAGTATTTTATTTGAGAATCTTACAGATTAAGAGTCAAATAAGTTACATGTACAATACACATTCCACTGATCTATATACAGATATATATGACCACACATTTCAAATGAAATTCTGAATTAAGATATATTTTGGTGAACTTCATGAAATTTGTCATTAGCACATGTGATGTTTCTTTTCTTCAATATTTGGGGTGAAATAAGAAATTGAAGCCAGTTTTTAGGACTATTAATATATATATATATATATATATATATATATATATTATTTATTATTTATTTATTTTTATTGAGACATTTTTATAACAATTAAGCACATTTCCCCCATATGCATGTTATGCATAAAATGCAAAAAAAAAAATCCAATTACTGTAATGTGCAAAAACATTATAAATTATGAAAATTATGATTAATTAAATTATTTTAAAAATGTGTACCACGTTTAATTTATGCTCTATTAATTAAAATTATTGCATTGCAGTAATGTCTAAATATTCTGAATAAGAGTAATGGTAATGATTTTAGTAATGAGAAAGTGATTATTAAAAATAGTAGTGTTAGTAATTTTTTTAAGTGATTAATTATTTTGGAAAAAGTGAGTTCACTTGGCATGATAATAGGCTTACTAAAAATACATAAAAGATACATAATTGTTATTTGGCAAAATATGTGTTTATTGTTGTAACTGGTTAATGTTTTATTATTATTCAATTATTTATTTTATTTATTACTTTTGCCACCATTTTATTAAACCAACAAAAAAATTTAGTTTTTCTAAAATGGTAACAAGAGCAATAGGATAAACCATACCCTTTAATTATGGAAATGTCACTGTAGATCACCACCTCTCTGGTGCTTTAATGTATGTGCTGAATCTCAGTTAGAGCAGGAGTTATTGGAGAGGTCATAAGTGTAGAGCTCATGCGTTTTATTGAGGTTGAAAGATAGACAGGACAGGCAGAGCAGAGCACATCTCCCTCTTCCTGCGAGAGGTCTGATCTTCCTCCAGCAGTCTGTGTACTTCATTAAAACTGCATAGATGTGTGCTGAAGGATGAGAGCAGAATACAGCTTGATGGACACAGAAATACACACATGATGAATTACAAAGCAATGTTAATGAATTGCATTCATTTTAGATGAGTGGCTTTTTGTGCATAAGAACATAAAATCAGCATTGGCTCTATGCTAAATATATGTGTCCAAAATATATGTGTATATATTTTACACACATTTGTGGTCTTACTGTGAACGATTTGTCAATGCATGCTCAAAAGAATGTTCCATCAAAATCTAATAACTTGCTCCACCTCTGAAACAACTTTTCATTATCGACAATGTTGACTTTTAATTTCAACCCTGATTTGATTGTGCTTTCAGTTGTCGATAAAAGTGTAGTATTCTCAGTCCTGTTTAAAAGGGTAATTCCCTGCTGCATGGCAAGATGGAGTTTTAAGTTTTAAAAGTTAGCTGTCAATGCAGTAGAATTTTTAAATCTGTGCTACATGACTAGACAAAATAGAGCGAAAGGGTAACATGGAAAAATAATGCACATTGTTCATACAAAGTTGTTCAAATACAAAGCTGGTTGAACATTTGCAGACTTACCCTTTAACACATTTAGCCATTGTCCATTCTGCAGATTTCTACCCAAAACTGGCATTGAAAATGTGGGAAATGTTTTCTGGTCCTGCAAATGTAAAAGTATAATGTCCATTGGGATATGTTGTGCCAGTAAAGAGGCCTCCTAAAAATGTGGGTGTTTCAGGAGATTAACAGGAGTCTTCCACAACCAATTGCAAGCTCACAGTAAGGCCCATTTTTCAAGATTCAATCAAATCCCAATGGATGAAAAAAGTCCCGTCCTACATTTTTTGTTGCTGTTCAATGTGTTTCTCATTAAATATTCACTCAGAATATTTGCAGCCTATCAGAAATGGGTTGCAAACTCCATTTCATGTTAAATTTAAAGTTCATCGAGCACATCACAAGCCTTTGATAGGAAAACTACAAATCACAAACATAAGAGAGAGCGAGAGTGTGTGTGTGTGTGTGCATTTGTCCTGCCATGTGTCTTGCTTTAACTTTGATGTAAATTTTGTCGTACGTAACAGGACTGGCACATCTTCTCTCTCTTGCTTCCCCACCTGTTTTTCTTTTCTTCATTTCTTTCTTTTCTCTCTTATTGAGCTATGATATACAGCTCTTCATCTGCGCTTTCCCCTGCGTGTGCTTAGATCTACACCAGATGACTTTATATATTGTCGTTTAGTGCAGCAGAAGACAAATGTTTTCTGACAGAGCATATTTCTCACGTCTACCACAGTGTGGAGAGGGTTGCAGCAGCTGTGTGTGTTTACATTAACACAGGATTTTTATTCTGACAAATCGGGCTTATATTTCCATAAACTAAGGTCTGTTTCTTCTGTGTGTGTTTAAATATAACCAGCGAACACGGCGAAGGTGTTTATTGATGTGCAGGATGAGAATGATCATCCTCCGGTCTTCACAAGGTCTCTTTACATCGGAGGAGTGACTGAAGACACTAAGACCTTCACCACAGTACTGAAAGTTGTGGTGAGTATGTTATGTGTTATTTATTCCTAGGCAGCAGTCTAGGAACGATCTGGAATGTCATGAGGGCACATTATAAACCTTAGGCTAGACTCATGAATATTAATTAGGTGACATAACGCTCACCCAGTAGTCCTAACTGATTTGTTGAAGGCAGACAAGTGGGCACTTGCCACTGAGAAAACAAATATTTTGTCTTTTTTTTTTTTTTTACTTATGCTAATTTCAGCCATTCTGCAGAGCACAAAAAGAGAAATTCTGAAGACTGTTCACATGTTTTGCAATGGCAGTTCTTAGTGACCGAAAAAGGATAAAAAACTCTATAAAGTATTAGATATGCAGGATGGAGGCATCAATATTTTTTTTTTAGAAATGTTCTTTCTTTGTTCCACAGGGAAATCTGACTTATGGATGAATAATAATAGAGAATTCTTTTGAAATTCATTGAAATGTTTTTAAAAGAATCTTATGCTTACCAAGTCTGCATTTATTTGATTAAAATTAAAGTAAATTTAATAATATTCAATTTATTTTCTGTTAATATATTTTAAAATGTAGTTTAGCAAAGCTGAATTTTTAGCTTAATTACTCTAGTCTTCAGTCTCACATTATCCTGCTGAGTTGTGCTGCTGAATATTTTTGTGGAAACTGTGAAGCTTTTTACAGGATTCTTAGATGAATAGGAAGTATAAAAGAACAGCATTTATTTGAATTTAATTATTTTTTAAGTCCTTTATAACTAACATTTTTTTTTACAAAAAAAATTAAAAATCCTCCTGATCCCAAAGTTTAAATCTATATATTTTCCAAATTAGTTTTAATTTCCCACTTAATTTGACATTGCATTAACTGCAGAATCATAATATTAAATATGATTTGTTGTGTTTTCACATTTAGAGTGGTAGTGTTGTTAAGCACAATACCAGCAGAATACATTGGAACAGTGGTGATTCATTCATGGGGTTTGAAATGTTCTGCAGGTGTTGGTGTCTGCAGTACATTATATTTCATTTTTACAGCGAAGAACTTGCTGTTCACATCTTGACACACCTGTCAACACTAGAGTACAATCTCTCTCTCGCTGTTCAAATCTGCTCGCTTCCCCCCACATCTTAGTAACTGTACTTAGACAGCTTCTCTCTCCATTCTGACAATGTGGAAGACAAGTGACGGACACCTGTAAAATACCCACCGGGATCTGTGTGTTAGGCTACTGCAAGGTTACCGTTTTCTCATAAATTGAGACTTTTAACATCTATAAAAAGCATTAAGGCATACAATCTGATGATATATGGGGATTATTACATTTCTAGGTCATTGCTGAAGTGGAGGCTGCAGAGCTTTCTTCCAGCAAGGCTTTTGAAGGGATAGTTTGGCCAAAATGTTATTTTTTATTTAAGCCTTTAAAGTATTCTAGTTCCTTGTTCTTTTATATAACTAGTAGTGCTGTTGATTTAATGCATTATTTTAGTGTGATTGATTATGGAAAAAAAATTGTGTTAAAGTTATTAATGCATTTATCTTACCAGGTGCGGCCCAGACCTGTACGTTTATTGACATATATTGATTTTATGCAAGTAGGTAAATAAACAAGAAGTTAATAATGTTCAATTTTAAACACAATATTGTCAATACTCTCTGTTTTGTTCAATTTCGCAAATGAAAATAGTTACAAACAAAGCCACAGAAAGCAAGCAAGTCACTTTCTTCGTTCTTGAATGAATCAGCTGTTTGAACAAATCAGTTAAATGAATGACTGACTCACTCATTAAGACAGTAACTTGCCTCCGGTTTTAGTTTCATAATATCATGTTTCATGTCATAATTTCATATTTTTAATATTATTTTTTTTATAAAATAAAAAAAACATTAATACCTTTAATAAACATTCATATTTGTTATTTTTTATGCAAGGTTGAATCAGAATATTTCTTTCTAAAGCTACGTTTTGTAATGTCTATTCAGTGCTTTTCTCATCTAACACAATAATGACTATAAATGAGCCTTTGGGGGATAATTTTTCAGCCAAAATTAATGTGCGATTCATTTGCAGTTAATTTGACATCATGTAATTAGTTAGATTAAAATTTGTAATTGACCTAATAGCCAGAAAATGGGAATTTCTCAGTCATATTTGTTTCCATGGACGTTTCTGCATGTAACTTAATGTGTATCAGGCTACAGATGTCGACACGGGGAACTACAGTAAGATGGCCTACAGACTGATCATCCCTCCCACACCCGAGGGGCAGGACAGTTTTGTCATTGAGCCATACACCGGCGTCATCAAGAGTGCCATCATGTTCCGAAACATGCGCCGGTCCTACTTCAAGTTTCAGGTCATCGCCACAGACAACTACGGGCAGGGATTGAGCAGCAGGGCTGATGTGGTGGTGAGTGCACGTGACCTTTGACCTGTATGTTTGTTCATGCACCTCATGCAAAATGATGATTCGAACACAACTCAAAACTTTGACTTTCACTTTGAGAAATTACATTTTCTCTCATCCCTCAGGTTATGCAAAATGAATGTTTGAGGTTCAAGTCAGATCACTGACTGAATAATTTAAAAAGAGTCTAAATTGCATAACAACAATCAGCACTGTTATTAAGGGAAAATGTCTCTCCAGAGTGTCGATTTGGTTTGGTAAATAGATTATGTTTGAATAAATGTTTGCGTGCAGGAGTGCATATGGTATTTGTGCACTACTTAATGCAGTAATGAATATATAAATAAACTGTGTCATAAATTTTGTGTCAGCTGAATTATTTATGCTGCTGTATCTCCTGAAGTGTTGCAGCCAGTGACTTGTGCAATTCCCAGAAATCTCTTGGCTAATGAACGCCAAATAAAATAAGAGGGATTTTGGAACTGATGTGTGCATCAGGGTTTTAAACATCATGTCAATAATGTTTGTGTCATTTTCAATTTCCACTAGCAGGAATCGGGATCGGGACGCTACACCCTTATTGACCAACAGAATTAAAAACCATGACAAACGCAAATAGCACTTGAGCTGGATGGTATACAATGGGGTCTAACTCACAAAGTGTGAAAATTATTCTAATTTAATCAATTTTCATTGCCAATTACACTACCATTGAAACGTCTGTGGTCAGTAGGTTTTTTTTTATGTTTTTCAAAGTAGTCTCTTATGCTCAACATTGCTGTATTTATTTGATCAAAAATGCAGTAAATACTGTAATATTATGAAATACAATTACAAGTTAAAATAACTGTTTTCTATTTCAATATATTTTAAAATGTAATGTATTTCTGTGATGGAAAAGTTGAACTTTCAGCATCATTACTCTTGTCTCAAGTGTCTAAATTAGAAATATTATGCTGATTTTGTGCTCAAGAAAAAAATTCTTATTATTATCATAGATGAAAACAGTTGTGCTGCTTAATATATTTTTGTGTAAACCAGGATATTCTTTTTCAGTATTCTTTGATTGAAAGAAAGACAAAAAGTTCAAAAGAGCAGCATTTATTTGAAATAGAACTTTTACCATTATAAATGCAGTAGTCTTTGCTATCCTTGCTGAATAAAATTAATAATTTCTTTTTAAAAGAAATTACTGACCACAAGCTCTTGAATAGTAGTGTATATTATGAACATGATTTTAGTGAAAATGAGTGTTGAAAAATTCATATAAATTTGGTCTTGTGTAAAAATGTCTTAATATTTGGGCTGTTAAAACAAGTTTATTTAAAACCAGATGATCATCGTGTACTTCAATGGAAGCAAGACCACCTGACTGTCTGTACAAAGCTCACATAGTAAATGTAATAAATTTATGCCATAACATTTTCCAAAATATTACAAAGTTTTTCAGGTTTAAATTTTAATGGTGTTTTATTTGTGGTGCTTTAAACAGCAACAATGGCAAAGTAGCCAAACTCTTTATGAATCTGCCTGGAAACAGTAAATGTTTGCTTGAAATGAACATTCCTCTGATTAAAAAAAAAATCACTCTTTTAAGAAATATATCATCATCATGCTGGAGAATATCATGATCTGATTATTTTAGCTCTGTCAGGCTGCCCTGTATCACCTGTGCATATAAACTGCACCACATGAATCAAATCCTCTTGATCTCTTTCGTATTCTGTGTGGGTTGTAGGTGTCCGTTGTCAATGCCTTGGACATGCAAGTTGTGGTTTCTAATGTGCCACCCACTGTGGTGGAGGAGAACAAAGAGCAGCTGATTAGGTGAGAATTCCTCCCTCGGTGTGTTTCTCTGCACTGCTGCTTTCCTTGAGTGGCATTTCCTGCACTGTCGGCAGCCTTTGTTTTCCCACTTGCTTTGATTTAAAAGGCCATCTCAGTTGTTAAAACACAGAATTGAGCTCAAATGGCAAACTCCAATAAGCAAAATATAACCACTTTGCTCAGTAGATTGCAGAATAATCATAATAAAAGACAAAATGATTGCTTTTTTAATACTAGTCAGGTATACAGGTGCATCTCAATAAATTAGAATGTCGTGGAAAAGTTCATTTATTTCAGTAATTCAACTCAAATTGTGAAACTTGTGTATTAAATAAATTCAGTGCACACAGACTGAAGTAGTTTAAGTCTTTGGTTCTTTTAATTGTGATGATTTTGGCTCACATTTAACAGAAACCCACCAATTCACTATCTCAACAAATTACAATATGGTGACATGCCATATTCTAATGGCAAAACACCTGCAAAGGCTTCCTGAGCCTTCAAAATGGTCTCTCAGTTTGGTTCACTAGGCTACACAATCATGGGGAAGACTGCTGATCTGACAGTTGTCCAGAAGACAATCATTGACATCCTTCACAAGGAGGGTAAGCCACAAACATTCATTGCCAAAGAAGCTGGCTGTTCACAGAGTGCTGTATCCAAGAATGTTAACAGAAAGTTGAGTGGAAGGAAAAAGTGTGGAAGGAATTACTGAAATAAATGAACTTTTCCACGACATTCTAATTTATTGAGATGCACCTGTACATATTGCAAACTGGAGACAGTAAAATGTAATATATTCAGTATAGTACCTGTTCTGCATGCTTTACGCATTAGTTATAGGAAGAATCTCACACTGTTATATTTCAAAATCACCCTATCACCCTAATACAAAAAGTCTCATTATTTAAATATTTTAGCATTTATTAATTATTGTATTAAAATATTAAATATTGTCTTAAAGCTGATTTTATTTATAAAATCTGACAGGACAATTCTCATGTTCATTAATGTAAAATAATCAGTTAAGATAATGTGAAATGCATGCATCTTCACATTAAGAAAAAAATTACTTTTTTTTTCTTTTCATTTTGGGATGTTTTGTGAGATTCACCCTTCAGGTTTAGCAAAACTAGATCATTTTCAGTGTTTGGTAGAAGTATTAGAAATTAAGTAAGTGGAATTTGCATTTTAATGTTTTAGGTAGATTAAGGAATTTTATTTGCTATGCTTTTGTTTTGTCAGCATTTTGGAGCGCTATGTGCAAGATCAGATCCCTGGTGCTAAAGTGATAGTGGAATCGATCGGTCCTCGGCGACACGGAGAAGGTTATGAACTTGAGGACTACACCAAATCAGACCTCCAGGTGTATGCCATCGACCCTCTCACCAACAGAGCCATCTCCAGACAAGAGCTCTTCAAGTAAGCCAAACACACAGCCGCTCCTGACACCTTTAACAAAGTTTGTTGCCAACATTTGGAAAAAGTCAGAACCTCTGTCCTCTGTGTTGTATGGTGCTGACGTGACACTGCAAGTGCTTGTGATATTTGGAGATCCTCTTCCCTCCTCATCTCACCATCACTGCTTGTTCTTGCTCTTCTTAGCAAAACGACATATTTTCAAAATCATCTAAACAGCTAATCGACTAATCGGTTTAAATCCCATGTAATTAGACAATTTTACCTAATTTGACACATTTTCTGAGGCGATTTCATAAGGTATATTCTTGTTTTAAAAAAAACCTGCTAGACAGAGCCTAAGTAACATACACCGCCACTGCTGAAAATATTAAATATAATAGTAACATTGATTATACAATACCATTTAAAAGTTTGGGGTCAGTACGAGTTTTAATGTTTGAAAAAAGTCTCTTATGCTCACCAAGGCTGCATTTATTTGAACAAAAATACAGTAAAAACAGCGACATCATGAAATTTTATTACAGTTTAAAATAGCTATTTTCTATTTTAAAATATATTAAAATTACATTTATTTCTGTGATTGTAATGCATTACTCCAGTCTGTGTCACACAATGCTTAAGAAATTATTGTAATATGCTGATTTGGTGCTCAAGAAACATTTCTTATTATCATTGATGAAAACAGTTATTTATTATTTTATGAATATTTGACATTTTTTCAGGATTATTTGATTATTCTTTTTTTTTTAAAGAAAGTTCAAAAGAACAGCATTTATTTCAAATAGATTTTTTTGTTACATATAACATTATGACATTATGTCATTTTCGATCAATTTAATGCATCCTTGCTGAATAAAAATATTCATTTTTTTTTTTTAAAAACACACATATCTTACGGACCCCAAACTTTTAAATGGTTGAGTGAACTATTTTTATTTATTTATTTATTTATTAAATTATATAAGTATATTAGAGAAAGAAAAAAAAAACTAAATAAACTCTTTGGCCATCATGACATGTCTCTAGTCTACAGAGTATTTGGAAAATTGGAAAAAAAAAACTGTCTTTGTGAACAGCTGTTCTACAGGAAGCACCTGTCCTCCTCAGTTGAGAGGAGAAAATCCTCCTGAAGTCCAGACACACAGCAATATGCTCATTTAAACTGTGCTGTGCCCCGTGACTCAGCAGGGAGACGCGTCTGTCACTGGGATCCAGCACAAGTCATCAGGATTCTGTTCAAATATGTGTTTACTGAGCCAACACACACATCTCATTCATATTCACAAGCACAGGAGATTACAGACCACCTGCCTTATTCTGCCTTTCTAGACACACTTCTTACTCTTATACATGTTTTATTTTGTTCACTGTTAGATGTCTTCTGCTCGTGTTTGTATCGCTACCAAAAGCAGAGCAGCTGCCCGGATGAATGTTTTATGCCTTAGAGGTTACTGGTAACATTTATTTAGAGAAATAAAGACATAAATGAAACAGTCGTTGACATACTGCACATTGAGAGATAATTAGGAAGAATTTGATGATACATTTTTGAGCTCATATTAAAATGCTCATGAACCCGCCGAGAGCAGCCTTACCTCGGCCAGTTCTTCTGGAATTTGTTGCCGGTTCTGATGTCTCTACTGTATATTGGTTAAATATGAGTTATAATTTGCTTTGGGTGACTCTAACGGTTAATCTTTGGTCTCATTAATCTATTATTTGTTCCAGAATAAATAGTTTTGGCTGAGGGCAAAGTCTCATAACTTTATACTTTTATATAACTTTAATGCTGTATATCAGAGCGCTGCCTTTGTACTTTTGACTGAATTGCCCAGCAACTTTTATGATGGCTGTTGTTGTTGTTTATTAAATAGTATTATTCAATAAATAATATTTTATATAAATAATAGTAGTATTTAATAATAGTATTTAGTATTGGGAAACGGTGTGTGTGTTCGTGATGGTGAGTTTAGTTACATTATTCCACCTTTAGATGGCGACAAGAGACTGTTTTTATGAGTTAGTATTTAACAGTATTTATTTAACAGTAAAGACTTTTATGTTGAAAGAGGCTGAAACAGGGTTGTAAACAAGGAAATTATTTTTACTTTCAACAACACCTTTTAAGATGTAGCCAACAAACACACTGAGAAGTGCTGTCATCAGAAATCACCCTTAACAGATGAAAGGACAGTACGACAAAGATATGGCTTTCCTCACCGGACATTCAGACTAATGTTTTATTGTGAATGTGAGATTGAGCTGAAGAATGAATGCTGTATCAGATCCAGGTAATCACACTCACTCAGTCCATCTCTCTCTAATAATATTCTACAGAATACAGTGAGCTTTTAATACAGTAATGCAATATTCTTTCAGTGAAGCAACTCAACGTTCCTTCATTACTAGTTCTAAAGTGACGTTTTCGAATTAGAGACGGAGGCTTGGGCTCAGATGTTAAACTGTCAAACTGAGATTTGAGTCTGTGGCGGAAAGAAGTAATTCTGCATACAAAATGTTTTTTAAGACACTCCTTGGTTGTTTCTTATTTATTTACACACTTGTGCTGTCGAACTGTTATATAAATGCAATATCACACTCGTAGCCATGCAATATTGCTCTGTATCAGCATGGCTGTGAATCGGCCGTAGGCAGAGGTGGATTTACCCATTAGGCAAAGGTAGGCAACCACCTTGGGCCCCCAAAAGCCAAGGCCCCCTAAAATGCTTTTCATATAGGAGATGCGCATTAAAGGCCTGTTCACACCAAGGATGATAACTATAAAGATAACGATAAAGATATAGTTCTAAAAATCATTCTCAATATTAAAGAATAGCAGACTCCACACCACAGCTATAACGATAAAGGCACAGAGAAACGATATTGTTGGAATCACTTTCAGAATGATTTTTTCCAGCTGATGAACGATAAAAACATTGACAGCCAATCATAATCAATCCTGCTATAACAAGCTCGAGAATTTTAAGCAGCAGACGAGAGTGCGCTTGGAATAAGCAGACGATATCGTCCGCTGGTGTGGACGCTAATATAGTTATCTTTATAGTTATTGTTCTGGGTGTGAACAGGCCTTAAGAGCTGACACACGAACGGTTGCTGTTTACGGTATTTATTACCAGGACAACCGTTTAATTGAGTTGAACGTGCTTCTTGTACATTGTTGGGTGTAACGCGTTACTTAATAACTGTAATTACTGTAATTAAATTACTTATCCACTGTAAAAGTAAAGTAAGGGATTACTGTTCATTTGTAGGTAATTTAATTATAAATTTGCGTTACACACTGTAAATAATTTAAGTAGTTCTAAAATCAGTATTGAACTTGAAGTCTAAATTTATCGTCGAATGCAAGCTCTTTAACCGCCAGCAACTGACTGTCTACAGAAAAGTTTAGATGGCTTTTTCATTTTATCTGATAAAGTAGAGTTTATGAGTGCAGCTGCTTTGTTTACAACCGTTACCGGGGAAACCGTTATATTTCTGACGTTCCAAAAGCGCCTTCTACTGGCAGAGAATGATTTTGCATTTTCAATAATCCCGTCTGCATTTTTTGTTCAGACCAATGTGAATATCCACCCACATAACCCTGTTTTAAATTATTATAGTACACTGTAAAAAAATGCCAGGAATTTACAGGATTAAAGGGTATTAATTTACAATAAATTACTGTAGTCAAAAATTTACTTTGAAATCAATGCATGCTGGGTAATTTTCTTACAAATGACTGTGAATGAACAGCAGAATTATGCTAAATCACAGTAATATACTGCTCTTGTTTTACTGTAAATTCACATTATAAAGTTGTCTTTAACTGTGCCACTGTGAGAAATGTAGTTGTTTACTACTGTAATTGTTTTGAAGTCACCATAATGGTGATTGGTGATCCCATTTGTTTAGGATCTCTGAGTGTATTAATATTCAAATTTCTGATCTGGTCTGGTCAGAAGTGTAACAAATGAAAACATTTGTCAAAATGATGACAAGCTAGAATATGAAATAAGCTAATTGCCAGACTTTAAGTTAGTCAAACTATTCTTAGCATGAACATTAAGATTTTATTTTAGCATTACTTAAGCATGAAGATTAATCAATAACTTATTTCATATTCATATTTTATTCAACTGTTTGTGGATAGATCTTTCACAATAGTGAAGCAACTTCTGAGAAACGTCTTTGAAATATGTGACATCAATACTCCACAAACAAAACACAACAATGGTAACACTCAACAAATAAAAACAACACTTAGAATGTAAACCAGCAATACAAAATAAACAAACAACACAAACTGCTAAAAGTGAACCAAAAACAAGTTCAATAGCACAAATAAAAAAGTTCAATAGCACAAATAAAACCAACAAGAATGAAAAAACTCTACAGCATGATCTATTCATGCTGCATTGCATGCTGGGTGCCTTCATAGTACATATGCACTGTAGAAAACACAATATGATGCTGTTTGTTTACAAGAAATTTCTCAGTCATTTTCCAGTATCTTCTTTTGTGTTCCACAGAGTCATACAGGTTTAACAACTGGATTGATCTGATGGAATGTGGAGAGTACAAATACAGGAGTAAATGGGGTGTAAATTCAGAACAGCAATAGAGTTACTCAGTTCACCTTCAAAATCTATTCGTGCTCATTTCTTTAAAGCTGAAAGGAAATTCTTGAGATGTTGTGAAGCACATGTACATGTGGTTTTGCAGGTCTGTTTGACCACAGATCAAATACACGCAGTCTTTCATCAGTCTTTAAACCTGGTTAATCAATTGTGTAGTTGGCTAGTTAATCGGTTGTGAAGTGTTCTGCTGCAGCAGGACTAATTGGTCAGCCGTGGATACTTATGAAGTACTTAACATGCAGGTCTATTTAAACATTATTGATCAGCAAAGTGTCAACAAAGCCAAGTATGAGGAGAAAAGTACTCTTGCTCTGCTTTGGAGTGGCACTGGTAATCAGTTCTATATCAAGATATTAAATAATAATACTTGATATTAGCACAGGCAAACCATTTACACATGCAGTGGAGAATGAGGATTTTCATATCATGTTGCCTAGTAACTCATATGACGAACTGGAAAAGGCTAAATACAGCTGAATGGATGCTGCCCTCATTAGCAGGATTCTTGGCTTCCACTTCTCTGCCGAAGATACTTTAGATTGACACTGAATGTTATCAACATCTAACTGTCAATCATCTCAAGGCTGTCATAGTTACTACAGTATAAAGATGCTGTATATGCGAGTAGAAATGTACAGTCTTGTGATTATGATGTACTTACTGTACAGGTATATATCTGTATAAGGAACCAATTGAAATTATAATTACACTATATATAATCACAGATTAGTTTTTTTAAAGTATATTTCAGATTCATTCCTACAGTTGCATTATTATTTTAGAATTTTTTATATTTTTTTTTACAAATGTTTTTTTTTATCACAATTTTTTTTCAATATATTTCAGCCTGAACAGCCTGAAAGTGTACATATTTATTTGTATTTTTTTTATTTTTAATTATTTAATTGTATTTTTATTTAATAATTTTTTGTGCTGTTATGGAAGATAAGATAAGATAAGTTATGCCGTAAGACAAATGCTCACAACACAAAACGCACTGCAAAAACAGAAACGCGCTGCAAATGCTCACAACACAATCAAATAAAGAAACGCGCTGCAAATAGGCACAGACCACATCGGAAATGTTTAAGGGAACTGCAAAGTGATGAACATGGCTGGGACATGTTTATCAATGTTTGCTCTGAAAGGTGAGATTTTTGTTTATTTTAACATACTGATCATACTATTTCTTTGCTGCTTCTTCTTCTTTTTTTTTTAATTATTAGCCTAAATAAGCTGACGAAATACACAATTACTGTAACTGTGAAAGCATGTAAGCTGGCTAACTTTTCAACTTTCCTTACAAAAATTAACCATAGTTTTACTATTAAAATTAATTAATTCAGAAATACATTTATTATGTTAAAAAATTTACAGAAACACATTTCTGTTTTTGCAGCGCGTTTCTTTATTTGGTTGTGTTGTCAGCATTTGCAGCACGTTTCTGTTTTTGCAGCGCTCTTCTTTATTTGGTTGTGTTGTCAGTATTTGCAGCGCGTTTCTTTATTTGGTTGTGTTGTCAGCATTTGCAGCGCATTTCTTTATTTGTTTGTGTTGTGAGCCTTTGCAGCACGTTTCTTTGTTTGTGTTGTGAGCATTTGCAGCATGTTTTTGTATTTGATTATGTTGCGAGTATTTGCAGCACATATGCTGTCAAACTGATGAAGATGTTTTCTTAATTTGCTGCTGGTGCTTTTTCTATTTGCATGTGTTTTCTGAAGTTGCAGCGCGTTGAGCTCTCTCGACCACCGTACCTTCTGATAAATAACAGAAATTAACCTTCCCATTATGAGGCGATATTTGACTCCTTAAAGTGATTTGACGGGGCATTTTTTTACCATTGTAATGTAATTTTTTTTTCTAACTTTATTAAATGTGTCATCTTTTGTGTCAAAAAATTTATATTTATAAACTTATCAAAAATTTTAATTAAACAATAAATTCAATTAAAATAATACAATACAATCAGGAAGAATAAGTTACCAGTCAAATGAAATCACATTTTTCAAACTCCCTTTATAATCATTAAAAAGCTGTCACTTGTCTTAGTTCATCATGATCTCTCAAACTTCCATTATAATTAATGAATCTCTCTACACTGCACACTGAATCTATTATTCACATCGTGTCTACACGTTGTTTGTTATAATGAGAGGATCTGAGCTTGAATGACTCGGCACTGAACAAAATCTGCAGTCTGCCTTAGTGATCTGTTCTGTGAGGAGCAGGACACGCACCGATACAGAAGCATTTCCATTGGCTGCAGTGTGCATGTATTATGGCCAATCACAAAAGACGGTATTGCACGGCAAACCATAGACACAAATATCACGCTACATTTTTTAATATATTGCACTTCGTTTATGTGCAGAACTGTGATTGCTTTCGTAGGCTATTAAATGGGAAAAAAATATAGAAATCACTTTCATTTCCAAAAAAACCAAAGCAATTGGAAGTGGAACGCCGTCCCCCCTTGAAATTCACTCCCCGGACTGTGTGTTTATATATACAGTATACATATAAACACACACACACACACACACATATATTTTTTATTTTATTATTTTTAATATTATTACAAATATGTTTTTCAGTACATTTCAGTTGGATCAATACAGTTGTATTATTATTCTCACATTATTAATCCATACTTTGTGGGGTTTTTATATGAAAGTTTTTTGTGATTATGATGTGCTTACTATACAGGTACATATTTGTGTAAGGAAAAGATCTAAATTTAAATGATTTTCTAATATGTCTGCTAAATGTGTGTTTGACAGGTTTCTGGACGGCAAGATTCTGGACATCAATAAAGAGTTCCAGCCGTACCTGGGCGAGGGCGGGCGGATTCTGGAGATCCGTTCTCCTGACATCGTGGCGAGTGTGAAGAAGGCTGCGCAGGCGGTGGGCTACACAGAGGGGGCTCTGCTGGCACTGGCCATCATCATCATTCTGTGCTGCATCCCAGCTATTCTCATCGTCATGGTGACATACAAACAGTGAGTAGAATTTTTGTCATTCCCCAATGATAATCATCCTCATAAGTTGCATATTTCAGCTTTCAGCTCAATTAAATAGGGTTCCGCGTGTCCTTAAAAGTCTTTAAGGCTGTACAAGACTTAATTATGTCTTAATTATGACTTCAAGAGGTCTTAAATTTGGGAATGGAAAGACAATAATTGCGATATGGCTTAATGTGACGATTAAACCTCAAAAGACTCAAAAGTGCCACCTACTGGCAGAGAAAGAATGTGCTTTTTTAGTAAGCCCTTCTGCTGTTTTTGTTCTGACCTCTGCGAAAATCAATCAATGTTTTTACGCTGCACACACACAGAGTTGTAAATGTTATCTGGTGAATCATTAAGAAGATAATGGAAAAAGAGCCACCAGCCTCGCTCCGTTCCCACGGCTCTCGGCCCCGCCCCTCTCGTCACATAATATAATAATTGATTGATAATATTTTTAATGAATATAATAATTGATACTTTTGACTACTTTTGAATCCATTTTCTTAAAAAACGGTTTAAAGGCTGAAATGTGAACTTTAACACTTTATAATACTTTTTGTTTTTGTGAAAACCTGTATCTGAACTGTAAATCATGCTTTTTACAGTCATTTTACAGTTAATATGCTACCATAGACATTGCTCTATCCCGCTCATATGGTATTAATTTTATTTGTGCAGGTCTTAAAAAAGTCTTTAAAAGTCTTAATTTGAGCTTATAAATCCTGCAGATACCCTGAATACAAATAATAAATTATTTTTTCTTGATTTATTTGCTTTTTTCAAGGTGTAAAAAAGCACACAAAAATGTAGACAATTTTTCTGTATTTTTCTTCATTTTCCCTTCATTTTTCTTCATGACTATGGTAAATGGGATTTGTTAAATCACATCCCCAGTATGTAACTGTACATCATTTATATTCATAAATGGGAACAATGTCACAAACAAAACCGCGAACAGTTTTTCGTCATTTTACATCTCGTTTCAACAGCTGCTTTTCTAAGTGCATCTAAGACTTTTTGTCCAGCAAACATGAATTTTGTTGGCAGTTGAAAGATAACTATGATTACGAGACTAGTAGACAATTAGCTAGCAGTTAAAATGTATATATAAATTTAACATATAAAGACAAAGTATTTATATGTTCTCAGAGCTGCTATTGTACATACATGAAGACACTTTACTCTGCAGTTGTACGTCTCTATTTGTAACCTCTACGGTTCTGAGAGCGTTGAGGACAGGCTGAAAAAAAACATGCACAGTAGGTGAGGGAGATGAGTATTGGATGCCAGGTATTAAAATGGCTTTTTTTCAGTAATTAGCCATGCTAACAGGCTAATCTCCCAGCCAGCTCTGTGTGAAAGCAGATTAATTATAAGCATTTGTGACATCTCCCAGGCATTCGATCCATCCATCACATCTCATGAAAGCCCAGCATATGGGCCTGCTCTCCACACACAGCAGCTCTCTTGAGATGGGAGTGTGGTCCTGACCTTCTGCACACACCAATGAGTCCTTCATCAGCTATTGTGTAAATACATAACAGATGGGTAATCACACAGCGAACACAAACAGCTAAACACACACACCTACAGTAAGTGTGTGAAGCTTGCTCTCCCACACACACATGCATGACTGCATTTAGATGTTTTTACACATATTAAAGAGTTCATTTTGTGATTAGACTCTTGTATTAAAGGTGAAGTGACATTTTTACGTCATTACATTTGGTTGTTTACAAAAGATGCATAACAGGAGACACAAGTGTTAGCTTATATATCACAACACAAGATCTCACACTGTCTTTTGAGTAATTGCATTCCGGTTAAATAAATAATATTGAGAGGATCACGTCTTTGATAGCCTCCAGGAAGCCCTGGGTCAGGACGAGAGAGTGTGTGGATGAAATACAAAGATGAGAATGAGAATGGAGAGCTGGAGAGACAGAGAGGGGTTACTGCTGAGACCTGTATTGTTTCTCAACTGAGGAGATGTGGGATAAACCGGGGTTATCCTGTGCTCTTATCACATTTTACAGTATGAATTATGCACACACACCTGCAGCAGTAGCTGCAAACAAAATGGGCTGCATGGTTCAACACTACAAGCATTTTCTGGCCTGTGAAATTAGAATTTGGACTGCCAGTCGATTAAAAATATGAATTAAGATCATGATCTATTACAAAAAGGCAGGGTAGGTTATTTGGTTCAAAAACATTTTTTGTTATGCTGGTTAAAAGTCTCTTCACATCCTGATAGCAAAGTGGTCTAAATGTATTTATTTGTATTTATATCGTCTGTGGAAGGCGTAGGACCATAAAATGTTTGTCCAATCATATCCTTCTGTCCGAGGACTATGATAGGCTGTCCTACCTGTCAACGTATTTATTTGCATACCTCGACACACCCTGTTCGCACAGACATGATACCTAATCAGTGCGCTCCATTACGCTATTGCAGACCGAGTGAGAATGGAAATTATTATTGTAATATTATGTGCTTTGTACTGTAATATTTTCTCACTGGTGAATGAGACATGAGGTCGTTAGCCTCTGGTTTGCCTGTGTGCGTTGATGTGTTTTGGAGGAGGCGTGGCTTTGGAGAGTGATTTGCAGGGAGGGTAGGATCTTATGCTTTCAAATCTAGCTTGCTATTGCTAGCCTCTCCGAAATCACCTACCTTTAATGACAATTAACCACAATCGCAAATGGCAATTCATGTACCTACAATAGTGATATTTTTTGAGAAAATCTGTGGTTAGAAAATCCCTTAGTTAGGAATTTACATACAGGTAAAAGGGTATAATTAATAAATGTAACAGTGACATTTTTTGATAATTTATTTTTATTTGAAGTTATATATTTAATATAAATTATTATATTAACAATTTTCTTCTAGTTTCATATTTAGTATATTATATTATCCATTTTTTTTAATTATTAGCCAATATATTATACTATCCATTTTCTAAACCACTTGTCCTCTGTTGTCTGTAGGTAAATGTTATATTATATTATATTACATTACCTTATATTATTATAGTAAATTAACATTTTAAATTGACAGTCTTTCTTTTAATAATCATTGTTTGTGTTTTTGTTTAATTATTCCTGTGCCTAATTATCTAACAACTCTCCTTTCCTCTGCCTCTTTCTCTGCTCTTCCTGTCGCTACATGTGGACCCTGCGCTCAGATTCAAAGAGTAAGTTCAAATTCTTTTTTGATGAATTATTTGCCAGAGACTGTGTGCGTTCGTACACTCCTTATTCAGTTCAGTCCTTTAAAACAGGAACATACGAGTAGAATGCATGAATTGAGATGAGAAGCAAAGGACATACTCACTCTAGCCCTCTCTGATTCCAGCACAATAGCGATGCCTTTGAAAATGAACAGAAATTACTGGTTTCATGGCCTCATAGAGTACAAAGTGAGCTCCTCCTAATAAAACACCTCATCTCAGTGTGAAAGGTGCTGAATAACCCATGATATTTTGCATTGCATGAATAAAAAGTGCTGGAACAGATCAAATGAGAGTTCCAGACCTCATATCCTCCAATAATAGAGCTGAAATGAGCCTTTTGAAAGAAGGAAACTCACTCTTTGAGGATGCTTTACAGGAGACAGGCCGAGTGTGCCAAAACTGCCCGTATCCAGATGGCTCTTCCTGCCGGCAAATCAACAGGAGGTGGCGCTCCGACCAATCTCTACGAGGAGCTGGGAGACGGCGGCATGTAAGTTACCTGTCCTAAATAATACCTTCAGCCTTCAGCAGAGACAGCAGAGAGATGATTAACAAGATTTGTGTGTGTATCTGCAGGAAAATCAATAATAGTTCACCCAAAAATAAAAATTCTGCCATAAATTTATCTCAGAAATTTCGGTCGTCATTCAAAACCTGTGTGACTTTCTTTCTTGGAACACCACAAAAATATTATGGACCAAAACAGCACCATAAAAGTACTCCATAGTACATTCTAAAATATATATTTTTAGGTTGTAAATAAAACAATTATTGGAGTATGTTTTATAAGAAATTAGTATTTCAGTCTACTTTTTAAAATTCACATTTAATTGAATGTATACCATTTCTTTGTAATTATTTTTGAAATTTATAACAAAACTGCGGCAAAGTGTATGATTTGTTGCCACTCACTATCATTCGTATGGACAAAAATCAGCATGAACATTCTGCTAAATATCTTATTTCATGTCACATGGAGGAAAAATAAAGTCTTTCATGTTTGGAATGTCATGCGAGTGTAAATAATAGAATGACAGAATATACATTTTTAGGTGAACTACCTCTTTAATGCCCTAACCTGGTTATTCATTTCAAAAAAGGGCCATTGCCATTCTCCAAAGGGAGAAACTGTTCCTTTTTGACATCCCAAAGGTATTTGTTCCTTTGGTAAATTAGCTGTTTTTGGCTTACTAAGTCCATCCATAGAGATGTGCTCACTGGACGTGCGGGTTTGGTGCAGCAGGAGTCCATTGTCATTTTTTATTTTAATTTTAAAATGGTTTAATTTTAAAATGTTGCATTTTTTGTCATTTGTACGAGTTTTTTTTAATATGATGAAAAAGTTTTCATTTTTTATTATTCTTATTTTTTTCCAGTTATTTTAGTACAAGTTAAACTAAATGAAAATGAGAAATGTTCACAACTACCTGAAATAATTTTAAATTTTCAGCAGGAGTCCATTGCCAAGCTAAAGGCTGTTGTGAGTGGAATGAAATGTTAATAGATTAAAAGATTATAGCTGCAGCACAGCATCTGTGTCCCTCAGGTAAAGCCTTTTAAAGTGCTTTTGATTTAATGCAATCAAAACAAATGCAGCTGCTAACACAAAAAGACAGTGGAAAAGATGTGGTTTTGTATTGAATCCATTAGAATAGATGCTGAGATTGATGGACCGTGTTCCTGAACAGCAGTTTAATACCATCAGCAGAAAGGAACATCAGGGTAGAATTTGTTTGCTTGTGTGTTTGGGCAAACATTGTGTTCTTTTGTTGGATATTAATAATAACAGTAGTCTGTCAGCAACCTTATAAAACAGTGCTTAAGGAGTCTCTCTGTGACCCTCAGATTGATTGATTGATTGATTGATTGTTCATTTATTTTTAACATTTCATTAACAGAAATTTCACCCCATTTTTTTTTTCTCGGTTTTAGACACATTATGGTAATAAGGAATTGTAGTGCAAATAACACTTAATGGCTCTAAAAATTATTTTCTTCATGTTATGTTATTTTTCAGTTGATTTTGGGGTGCAATATGACCCAAACATATTTTCATTACATTCCCATCCCACTGAAATATTAGCCTATTTATGCAGTTTGTGTTGCATGTATCAAAATGCACATTTCTTTCACATGTGTAATGAATGATTAAACAGATGAGTGGTTACATTTCCTCTCTATTTACCTTTTACATGTGTCTCTCAGGCCATTTACATTTGATGTTAACATGCATTTTATTGCTGGATTGCATTTATATTATTATTTAGCTGGATTGCATTTATTCCTTGCACTCCAGTGCTTTTCCATTTGGATTTGAATAGAGATCTGACCGCACTCATCCACAGAAACCGGCATTTATAAATTACTTGCTTAGTTGTACTTTATGTGATTAAAAAAAACACGTTTGCACTTACACCTTTGTGGAAGATGGTTTTGTGTGCATTTACATCTGGCTTTCATTGTGGTCAAGTTTCTGTTTTTGATTCTGTCACTGAGAATGCATGTTAATGCCAAATGTGAATAGGGCCTGTCTGTGTTAAATTGTCATCATATCCATCTATCTACATGTATTTTCCTCTCATGTTTCATTCATTCTCATCTTCTCTGTATTTTCCAGGCTTGGACTACAGTGAGTAACATAAAATATGCTGCATTTCCCTGCAGTGCTCTTTCTTACACGTTCCTATCAATGTATTTTCAAATCCTTCTTGGCTTACATTTGTGGTCTGTGGTAGTTTCTAGTCCCTGTGTAACTGCTCTGCTAGTTTTCTTTACCATTTACTCTGTTTTTATGCCACATTTTCTGTCGAATTGCATATTTAAAGGAACATTTTGATACTATATACTTTTAAAAAAGGAAAAATGCACATAAAATTCACAGATACATGTGTGTAGCTCTGTAGTGGATTCAAGCTTTAGTAGTTCTTCACTAGATAAAGCCCTCGCCTCCCGGCTCTAGTTCCTCGCAGTTCTCTCCTCAAAGCAAACAAACACGCTTCTCACATCCTTCACTTTGAGACTCACCGTTGTCACAGATCATCTTGATTGATGTTTGAACAACGATTAACTGAACAGATAGGGATTTCAGACTGATTTTTGAGTGCTAGTGTATGATCTTTGTGCTTCACAGCTGAAAATACACCATTTTGATGCCTGCTTGCATTCATCGTATTATTGCTGCATTCCATGCAAAGTTGGATGTAGGGTATTCCTACTTAATATCTCAGACTGCCACATTATTCAAGGCTCAGATAACAGTATATAAAGAAACATGGATGTCCTAGCCTTTGTTTTGCGGGTAGGGTACAGTGGGGCTATAGACCCAATAAGGAAAGGAAATTTGTATGAGTGCAGAAAAAAAATATATCTTTTTATTGAACATTGATAGAGCAGCACATTTTGTGGGAAAAGCATCATAAAAGTAGTATTTTTTTTGTTGTTGAATCCGTCGAATCCGCCGGCCGCACCGTTCTCAAGCCCGCCGGCCGTTCCTCACTCAAGCCCGCCGTGTGTGACGCTGTGTGTTTCGTTGTGAAAGCGAAACTACTTTGTTTGGCCTTCCAAAAGAGGACACGACTAGAAATCGGTGGTTAAGTTGTATTTACAACACTGTTCCAGAACAGTTCAACCCAAATATTCAGATCATGTGTGCAGCGCATTTTACGCATTTTAACTGTTTCCTGGGAGAGTAGATTACAAATGCCGGCTGTTCTGACTCACAGACTGTAAGTACGTTTTTGCAACGCAACGTATAAGTCATTATAATCCGTAATTATGTCCCCACTGGATGCAACGAATGCCTCGTTTATAATGGGTTTTAATGTTTTTGTCTCATCGCTCCGGGACACGGCATTACAGTATGGTAGGGGGGCGTAACATTTCCGTCACACGCTTGAGGTATTCGGCCAATCACAACGCACTGGATAGCTGGCCAATCACAGCACACCTCGCTTTTCAGACCGATGAGCTTTGTAAAAATCGACGCGTTTCAGAAAGGCGGGGCATAGAAGAGAAACAATAATGTACAGTATGTGGAAAATAATGTGTTTTTTGAACCTTAAACTGCATAAACACATTTCATTACACCAAATACACAAAATAATGTTCTTTTTAGCAACATCATATGACCCCTTTAAAAATAAATAAAAATGAAATAATAAAAGAATCAGAGAGCTTCATACAGTGCTTCAATCAGATCCCATAATAATATGATATGTATATTTTATTATTAATTACACTTTTAAAAATGATGGTTTCATTTTAAATATGGTGATTATCTCTTAGTTAGACACTCAATGAAAAAAAAGATAATTACCATTTGAATCTACCCATGTCATGTCATCAAATGAAATGAACCATCATTTTACATATTCTTTAGTTATTAAAAAACTGTTGATTTAATTACTCTGAAGGAAACTGAAAATCATTAACAAGACATTTGTCGCAAAATATATTTGGTAATTTTAACTATTCTTATTTGCTACGTAAAACTATAGCATTAAAATAATAAATTAACATTAAATTAACATAGTTGCGTCAATGATCTGCCAAATTTGTCAGGTGCATAGAGAGGTGGTTTAGAAGAAAATGTGTCTTGACACTGGCCCAATGTACCCTATGATTATCAATAAAAAAGCTCATTACCTGTGTTTTAAACATCTTTTTCTTGAATAGTTTCATTTTATTGGCTTACAAGTGAATGTTTATGATTAAAACTGTGTAATTCCTTTATTACACTTTTCCAAATAGGAACTTGGAAATTCAACTTTCTGAATCGAATGCAGCATAAGGTCTCCTGAAGTATTAGTAAGACAATTTTAAGACTATTTGTGACCCTGGATCACAAAACCAGTCTTAAGTCGCTGGGGGTATATTTGTAGCCAAAATTATTGGGTCAATGTTTGTATGGGTCAAAATTATTGATTTTTTTTTTATGCCAAAAATCATTAGGATATTAAGTAAAGATCATGTTCCATGAGGATATTTTGTAAATTTCCTACCGTAAATATATCAAAACTTAATTTTTGATTAGTAATATGCATTGCTAAGAACTTCATTTGGACAACTTTAAAGGCGATTTTCTCAATATTTAGATTTTTTTGCACCCTCAGATTCCAGAATTTCAAATAGTTGTATCTCAGCCAAATATTGTTCTATTGTTCAAATATTGGCCTAACAAACCATACATCAATGGGAAGCTTATTTATTCAGCTTTCAGATGATGTATAAATCTCAATTTTGAAAAATTGACACTTAAGACTGGTTTTGTGGTCCAGGGTCACATTTGTCTCAGAAGTCCTGACTGAGAGTATTTGCTTTAGCGTCTTTAAAGTTAAATGCAAAATCGTGAGCAAATTTGTTTAACCGAGCTCTTTCAAAGTCCATTAAAGTGAAAGATTTTTGTGTAGTGGGTCATTAGCACTCTGTCCTCCCATGGCTGTTCTCTTCCCTCAATTCCTTCCTGTCTCTTTCCACACATGCTTCAATCTT